TTTATAGGTTGAAAACAACAAAAACCAAGTTGATAGTCGTCTAGAGGACATATCTTATGGTCCCTCACATTTGGTTAGGTTGAATAATGGATATCTTGTAAATGGGTTTAAGTTTCACACCGATCAATATGGGCAAAATCGACAAAGAATGAATTATGGGGTATGTGTGAAAGGTATTTGGCATGCCGATTATGATCATGACTTTTATGGTATACTAGTGGTAGTAGTTGAGCTAGAGTATGTGGGTGGCAATAGTGTAGTGTTATTCAATTGTCATTGGTTTGACACTTAAAAAAAGTTATTATAGTGCATCCTCGTTTTGGTCTTGTTGAAGTTATGTGCAATTCTACCCTTTTAACCAATGAGCCAGTTGTGTTGGCCTAACAAGCTCAACAAGTATATTATGCTAATTTTCCATCTAGGAGAAGATATCGATGTGATTGGTGGGTAGCTTGTAAAATTAAAATTAGGAGTAGATTTGATGTACCATTGGATGAAAAAAAGAATCAATGTGAAAGAGTTGAAATGTTTTACTAAGAAGAGGAGTCTACCCTAAGTTTTGACCTTGATGATCCAAATATTCTTGTTGGTGAAGGTGGCTTAGAAGAAGTTGAGCCAATTCTAGAACTTGAGGAAGAAGAAGAGAAAGGTTATCATGACGAGCATGAGGAAGAAGAAGAAGACAAGTATTTATTTAAAGAATCAAAAGAAGAAAATTTCATAATTGAGGATGTAGAGTTCAACTATTCTAGCAATGATGATAGTACTAATGATGAGTCTGTATACATTCAAGTTGATTGATATTATACACACACACCAACATATATATATATATATATATTATAGTCAAATCTCTACTGCAAATTGTAAGTATATCTAACTTTAATTATATGAATGAGTTCCTAGTGTTTGCACTACTGATTGCTGCTGTGATTTTGAGTTTTTGTGAGTTTTTGTGTGATTTTGAGTTCCTGATTACTGCTATTTGCATTGCTGATTCACTAAATATGAATGAGTTTTTATGTATAGTGTACGGGGGCCTGTGGTAGTTTTAATGTTGTTGATATTAGGGTCTGTCTTGATGTTAATATTTTTCCTACAAGGTGGGGTTGTGTGGAATGTGGTTGGGTTAAAGGGTTTTGTTTCTCTATAGACTGTTTGTATTTCTCTACAAATTTGGTGTAGGCACTTCCAGAGGTTATTATATATATATATATATATTTGTAAAGCTGTTTATGATATTTAATGAAATTCTACTTTTCAAAAAACCACTTTAATTATTTTTTTATTGAAATCGTTATGAGTATTTCTTTAGCTTTTCATTTCAAGATAAATGGAAAATTATTTGATTTCTAACACATTACAAATTTTATTATATAAGTACTATGGTGACAAGAGAAGGTAGACATATCAAAAGCAAAGTAGCAAGAAAATATGGACAAAGACATACTAGGTCCAACATTTCTAGATATTTGTGTTCTAGTGATGCTGATAGAGTTCAAGGTGATCTTCCTCCATTAGTACCTCTATCTACTCAGCCTACTACTCTTGAGCCTCCTTTTACTTAGCACATTGCAATTGAGCTTCCCTCCACTTAGCCTACTGATGTTATGCCTCCCTCCACTCAACCCACTACTATTAAGCCTCTCTTTACTCAGCCTACTATAGCTATGCCTACCTCCACTCAACTTCCTACTATTGAGCCTACCTCTTTTCAGCTTACCACTGTTATGACTCCCTCCAATCAATCTTCTAATGAGGGTATCGGATCTTAAGAGGTAGAGGATGGCAACCAAACAGACCATGTCAGCAATCTTAATTGAAAAAGAACAAAAAGAAGGGGACCAAATTTAGGATTTTAAACTCCTAACTCAACTAACAAGAAAATGATTTATATTCTTGGATCTAGGTATGATTTCGACTTAATGTTTCTTCTCTTATTGTTGAATACGATCTTGTGAATAAGTTTTGATGATTACAATATTATTGAAATATTGAATATGTATTTTATTTACATGATAGTTCTTTTCAATGTGAGGATGAGAAAGAAAGAGTTCCTTCTACGATAACTACTAGTTTGAAGGCCTTTTATAATGGACCTTGGGCAACCTGGAGAAAGGTGCCTACTGGAAATAAAACCTCATATTGGAAAACCTTTCAGATATTACTTGTACAATTGTTTGAGTTGTTGTATTACAATGTCTTGTTTAATTTTTATGTCTTTATCTTATTCTTAATGATAGGCAAAATACAAGTAGCCTGAGGACCAAAATTCTGCTATATACGATATGTGGTTTAGATTTGTAGCAGACAATTTAGTAGTATGATGAACAAGGCAAGAAAAACTACAAAAGATGAAACCGGGGTCACTAGTGTGGTTGGAACAAAAGACTTTTGGCTAGAATGGGTTGGTGAAGAGAATTGGGCATGGTTGATTGATAATGTTTGGATTAAAGAAGAATGGGCAAAAAAATCCATATTAGGTAGTAAGAATCACCTAACAGAAAAGGATGGTAGCATTTCCAAACATGTTAGTGGATCAATACCGATTGTTCTTCATGGGAAAAGAATGGTGTGTTTGTTATGGTATATTTTTTGGACTATTTTTGTCATATTTCAATTTATTAACATTTTTGTTACTTAATGTAGGACAAAGAGCTTAGGCATCTAATTACTCAAGCAGAGGTGTTTGATCGCACTCACAAGCGATGTAATGGTGAATTTGTTAACAAAAAGTCAAAAATTGTTAGTGTGAGTTAATGTTAGCAATTCTATATATATATGCAATTATCTCGTTTTAGTGACTGTTTTTTTAAATCTATGACGGAATGAAAGAAAGGTAGCTACCCCGATTGATAGAAAATTGTGAAAGAAATTACTTTAATTTGTGACAATAAATCCATCACTAAATAGTGACAGATTTGATATAATTTGTGACAGAAGTATCAATGAGACGACTTACAATGTGGGCAAATATCCATCATAATTTTCATCATTGACTTCTATTTGTGATGGATTTTGGACTTTTTGTAGCGGCTTCTTCCATCACAGAAACCAATTTTTCTAGTAGTGGGAGAACAAATTCATCAAAGGAAGAATAGGTCCGTTATGGAAAAATATGTTTATCATGGGAAGAACAAATCCATTATTTAAGAATAAGTTCATCATGGGAAAAACACGTTAGCCCACTACGTGTATTCAATAGTTGGTAGACATTAATGACATGGTGGAACTCAGGGACACTTAACAATACGTCACATGTTTCCCGAGAATGAGGGAAAAGAAAAATCATTTTACTTTAAGAAAATATTAAGAGGAAGACCTCTTAAATACCTCTACATCTAAACCCTTAGGTCAAACTCTCTAAAATATTCTAATGGTGAAACTAAACCGTAAATCCTATCATTTGTTTTGGATTTCATTGTTGTCCACATGATATAATTGTTCAATCTTTATGTGAAACAACTCTTAAAGAAATAATAAGTTAGCCAGAATCAAGTATCTAGGAATATCATAACATTTACATGAAGCTATAACTAACAATATCCAGTATGAATTACCAATGATATGAAAAATGAGAAGCAAAAGAATTTTCATCTTTTTTAACACATAAAAAACTCAATTAAAGTTTATGAGTAAAGCAATAACGATAAAGTGCAAAGTTATTTGAAATGTGAGTATGTGACTAGCCATAAAACACGTCTACTAATATATAAGGATATTTTATACTTTTTGAGATTTAAAATTTTTTTAATCCACATATTTATACTTGTTATGATACCACATGCAAGTGACATAAATTTTATAGAACACCAAAACATAAATAGTCAGATAGTAACAATTTAGGTTATTGGAATCGAAGTTAGGACAATTCCTAGGCTGGGACTATGGTCTCCACCTTTAACGAAAAAGAGATTAACGTTTAAATAGGTCCTAACATAAGCCCCTCCTTTTTCTTTTTTTTTTGAATATCAGGATGTGTAATTGGATAAGCACCATATGCAGCCTATTGGCTCTAGCCCCTCCCTTTAATTGTTTCTATTGTTGGAAGACCTACAGATATCGCCTTAACCATATTTCTTTTAGGATCAAATTTGTTAGTCTATTTAACAAACCAACATTTCCATTAAATGGTTGGCCACATATATGGAAAATTGCAAAACTGGTTTAAAATGGAGTTAAAGAGAAGCAGTTTCCGGGAAAGAATAAAACCCATTATTACAATGGTAAAATGAAAACTATTGACTGAAAGGCGCTACCATTGGTGCTTCCAGGTGAATTTTTTGTATCAGTTCAATTATTTGAACTGTGAGGCTTTTTTTTGCTATTTTATTATTATTTGATTTTGTTTGATCAAAAATAAAATTACAAAATTATCGAACCTATACAGAATGTTGCACAATTCTTACGAACATGGCCTCAATTCTGATAAATTTTATGCTAAAAGTTACTTTTCATTTTTGTTTGGTAAATCTCTTCTAACAAGCAACTTTTTTAAAGAAAAATATTACTAGTGGTTCTCCAACTTGGATTCCGCAATTAGAAGGTGATCAACTTTCACTAGAAAATTTAAATCACGTGAATGGTATATTTCTATATATTTGAAATTTTCTCATAAAGATCAGTGATATTTTGGTCCTTGAAAATCACAATGGACCCTTATCCAGTCCAAGCGAAATCCACGATAATTTGGACAAATGGATTAGAATTGTGGATGTTGAACAGAAAAAGGGCAAGGACAGATTTGTAATTAGATCTATGTACACGCTACACGTCAAAATTGTTCTGTACATAAAGGAGGTGGGAAAGGGAGTTGTTATTTTTATGCCAAAATGCTCAGACAGGTGGAGCCTATGTATTATCAAATAACTGTTTACACCTTGTGAAGAACAGTGATGCAGCCTTGGAAACATATAGACCTAGCTATTTCAGCTCACTAGTACGAACAAGTAGCCAGAAAGAGCCATTGTCATAATATTAGTCTATGCTTGAGAACAATTATGGACTCTAATGCAGTGCAAGTGAATCAGCGAAGATCCGCCGGTTACCTTCCCACTGTTTGGGATCCTGAATTCATTAAGTCCTTGAGCCTTCCCTATGTGGTAAGTGTCTCATTCGAAGCATAAGCTTAGCTCTCCTTTATATTTAATTTGAAGTGTTTCGGGCTGCTTTCGCAGTATGAGAGTGATGGCACTCGTCTGGAGGAGCTGAAACAAAGTGCTAAGTGCTTGTTTACATCCGTAAATGAACCTAAAGAAAAATTAGATCTGATCAACACAATTCAGCGACTGGGAGTGGCAAAACACTTTGCACAAGAGATCCAGGAGGTTCTTGATCTTGTTAATCCGTATATTGTCAATGATCTCTATACTGCCTCCCTTCAACGTCGGCTCCTGCGTCAGAATGGTTCCTCCACTAACTCGGGTAATCTATTGTCTTGTACTTTATTAAACTTCAAGTTTTTATTATACGAATATAACTCCAACAATTCGGAAAAAAACATACTAAAAGTCTCTGAATCTTTCTCTATTATAAATTGATAGTGGACATGGAAATTTTGAGCTGTGCAATAAAAAGTAATCCTCTCCGATTAACTTATAATAATACATAATACCAAAATTAAATTTGCCTGAGCTTAGAATTACTATCACCTGGTATATATGTAACGTACTCATGGTGAAAAATCAGATGTGTTTAACAAGTTCATGGACAGTGATGGGAAGTTCAAAGACAGCTTAAGAGAAGATGTGGCTGGGTTGTTGAGCTTGTATGAAGCTTCTTACGTTGGGTTGCATGGAGAAGATGTTCTAGAGGAGGCCAACAAATTTAGCACTAAACATCTAGAATTGGCAATGGAGAAGTTGGATAAAGATTTAGCAGAGCAAGTGAAAGAATCACTTCAAGTTCCACTATATTGGAGGTTACCAAGAATCGAAGCTCGAAACTTCGTCAATATCTACCAAAGGGATAGTAAAAGGAACTTGGATTTGCTCGAACTTGCTAAGTTGGACTTCAATCTCTTGCAGTCGGTTTACGTCAAGGAGCTAAAGAAACTGTCAGTGTAAGATATATCTGTCTTTAAAATTTAGCACTTCGGAAATCTTTGAGCAAGTAAACTGAAAAAGAAAAAGAAAACTTGCTCATTGCTTTTCAAGTTCGTGTTGATTTCTTTTTTTTTTTTTTGTTTGTTTTGAAGTTGGCTTTTGGATTAGGTTGCTTTACTTGTAGGAATTCTCCGTTCAGGTTTTGGGCTTGGAGGCTGTAGCCTATTGCTCATCCAGCTGGGTCTCTGGAGCTTCTCAAGGACTGTCTTCTCAGGCTTGTTCTTGCCTGATTTCTGTTATATGTGTGCTCTTATCTCTTTAATAAAATTTGTTCAAGTCTTTATTCTGCTCTTTTAATTTTGACCCAAGGTGCTGATCATATTGTCCGACCATCATGAATGAGGCTAGTATAGGGTTCAGTATATGTAACTGCTATTGATGGGACAGGTGGTGGAAGGACTTGAACATGAAGGACAAGCTACCTTTTGCACGAGATCGGTTGGTTGAGTGCTATTTTTGGGCAATGGGGAGTGTTCCTGACCCACATTTGTGCAAATGTAGGAGGAACCTCACCAAATTTGGAAGTTTAACAACAGTGTTGGATGATGTATTTGACACATACGGATCAATTGATGAGCTTGACAAGTACATGGACGCAATCAATAGGTACTTTATTAATCTAAGTACATCTAGGCATACTCACTCAAAATTCTTAATTTATAATTACGTCTGAATAAACGGTTCAACTTTTAAAAGATTTATTTTATTTTCAATAATATAGAAAATTAATATTTTTTTAAAAAAATGAATTTTCTTTTAAATTTCTTTCTTATCATGTGATGGAATAACTGATGTGAAATATGTCTTGTAAGAGATTTATTATCTTTTAATAATTGAGAGACTCAAACAATGACATTTATAAATATTGGTGGAATTGGATGATAAAAATACAAATATCAAAATTTAAAGTGATTGAAAAAGGAGCTTTACTCTGTAGTTAACTTACTACATATGCCGAAAATTTTCATTTCCCCGTGCAGGTGGGATCTTGACGCTATGGAGGGACTTCCAGAGTACATGAAAGTATGCTACTCAGCCATGCACGACCATGTCAATGAAATGGTTCAGGATGCTTCAAAAGATCTTGGCTTGGATATTCTACCGTATATCAAGGATCAAGTACGTATAATGTTATCAAAATTGAAAACACAAGTTGCAATTAACTAATTAAGTAAGGAACAAAATACACACACATATATATGGATAGCAATTAGCAATTCATCCAAAATAAATTATGTTGATATACCCAGATGCAAATTGGCAATCGATTCAATTAATGATGTTTTGTGATATGGAATTGAACCAAGGTATATAGTTTGAGAAAAAATAAATTATAAAATAACTAATTAGAATTTTTTTTTTAACTTATATCTTGTTTAATTATGACTATTGCAGTGGGTGTGTTACACAAGATCATTGCATGTAGAAGCAGGATGGTTTTATGATGGATACATGCCAACGCTGGATGAATATTTTCAAAATGGATGGATCTCAATCGGTCTTGCTACAGGCTTGGCCTATGCCTTTTTTGGAGTACTAGAGGATTCCAAAACAGATCATTTGCCATTAGAATTCTTCGAGAATTGGTCTGAATCTGAGTTATTTTATTGGCCATCCTTTAATTACCCGACTTTTGGATTATTTAACAACTTGCAAGGTATGTGATAACTGATAACTCTATTATATAGAGTTATTTTGACTCATTTTGGGAGCTTCTAAGTACTAGATCTTGAGATTTATGTTCGAATTTAGCATTATAGGTGTTTTTTTTAGTTTAAGTTTGATATTTTGTTAAGTGATTAATTTAAGTTATTTAGTTAAATTTAGGTTATTTTATTTTAAATTACTTTAAGAGTAGTTATTCTAATTTCTCCAATGGCTTTTGTAGGAAAAATGAAAAAGACTCATTTGATGAAATCAGTGCAAGTATGGTGATAGCTTCATTCGTATATGTTTCAATATTTTGACCAATCTCTTTCTAAAAAACTCCAAATGAGGTGATTCTTTGACCAATCAAATTAAAGAAGAAGGCAAACAATTTTATGTTCACCAATTGGCCCAGTTATGATTGGATCATGGTCAAAACATTTGTCAATTCGGACCACTGCAGCAGGATGTAAAGACTGAACATGATGCAGTATTTGGAGCAAATCTTTCAATCCAGAAGTCCATTGATGTGATTTTTATCCATTAGAAAGTTAAGAGACAGGGATAAAATTTTATGTTTACTACTTTGCCCAGTTCTTAACATATCAGGGTGAAACTCATGTTTGAAGTTGATAGACTGCCACAGTGCTGGGAGAACAAGGTTGCAGCGTTGATGAAAGGAAGCACACATACAAATTCCAGAGAGCTCAACGCTGCAGCGCTGGAGAAGTAGCGCCGCAGCGCTACGCGACTTCCCTAAAAAAATAAAGGACATTAACGAAATTTCGCAAAATTAGGTTATTTGGAGCCTATTTAAGGAGACTTTTTCAGAGATTTTTGAGGCAGCAAGAGAGGCAGCAAGAGAGGTAAGATTTAGATGAAGTGTGAGGGATATTGTAATCCTAGGCTTGTTTGATTGATATTTATTTGAGTATTATTATTTTGATTTTTTAATTTAATTCTGCTATAACTTAGTTGATTTGATATTATTTTGATATGTTTTGGATAAGATTAATTTGCAATAATTTTAGTACTTAGTAAACTTTTAGATCAATTCCCTGCGGATCGATACTCTACTTGCTAATATACTATCTATTCGATACGTATACTTGCGTGGTAGAATTTAATTGACAAGTTTTTGGCGCCGTTGCCGGGAATTGTTTCTAGAATTTATACTTATACTAATCCCAAGCAAATTAGTCTTAATTCAAAATTTTTTTAATTTTATTTTTAGGTACTTTTGATTGAGGTGATGAATTGTTGTAACTATCGGTGGACATCTGAACAATTGTGCCTAAGAGGGTTGCTAGTGATTATGAATTGGCTATCAGTGCTTTGGCCACTGAAGTTGATGCTTTGTCTCAAAAAATTGATACTTGGGGTATTAATGCTTTTCAAAATCCTTGTGGCATGCAAGCTTCGGAGATAGGCATTCGAGTGATTGTTGTCCAACCTATTCTGAATCAATGCAATTTGATGGAAGCTTCAATGGGCAGCAAAACAATTCATACTCCAACAGTTACAACTCATGGTGGACACCCCAAATTTTTCATGGAGTAATGATCAGGATTCCTACATATTCATCCACAATCTATTTTTCAGCATGATTTCCAGTCACAAGTTAGAGCCCCTATACTTGAGAAGAAGCTAACTTTGGAGGATATGCGATACAGTTCATGAAAGAAATGATGCCATCATTCAAAGTCGAGCAGAATCAATCCAAAATCTTGAGACTCAATTAGGCCAACTTGTTAATTACATCAACAATAGGCCTCAAGAAATTTTACCAAATGACACTGAGCCTAATCCTAAAAAAGAAGAAAATGGTACCATCTTGATGAGATAAATGGCAAGAATGTGGTAGATGATGAAGACAAAGCAGATCAAGGTAACACTTCCACTAATCAAGTTCGAGATGAAAAAATTAAGCAAGAGGAGGAAGTATTTACACCACCACAAGTCAAGCCATATGTGCTTCCTATCCTTTCCTAGATAACAGCTGCTAAGTTACCTAAAGCGGCTATTGACATGGAAAATCCAAAGAAACTCCTTGAGGCTTGTTTGGTTCAAGTGGCAACAAAAAAAGACCAGAATGAAGAACTCACAAATGTTACACATGTTTGAAGGCTACACCGAAAGTGCATTATCCAAGAAGAACACAATTGAGAAGTTAGGTAAAGGTCAGCCATTCCACCATCTTGGGTTGAGCAAGCACCAAATCTGAGTTAAAGCCACTACAACCTCATCTAAGAGAGACTACTTCACACTCAATACAATCATTTATTCCATAACTCCAACCTCCTTAAAGGGTGAATGAAGACCTCAACCAAAGTCAAGCAGTGACTATAAACGAGCGCTCTTGGGAGGCAACCCAAGCTATATTCTTTTTGATTTAGTTGTTATTCAGTTCCTTTTTGTTTTCAATTTAAATAAGTAGTTCTAATCTCTCCTAGCTTGTTTTGCTGTGTATGCAGATTTGGAAAGCAATGAAGATGAGGAAAAAGAAGATTAGAGCTTTCAGAGGAACTACCACCATTGATAGGGAAGTTTCTTTTTCTTATTCTTTTTAACTTTTCACATATGAGGACAATGTGCAATTTAAGTTTGGGGAAGGTTTTATGTTATTAGTTTTGTGATAGTTTATGTTAATTTATTTTCGTATTTTTTCAATAGATTTACTTGTGCCAGCTTCATTTAATTTACCTATCCAATGATGAGAAATCAGTTATATTCCTATCTTGATTCTTCAAAACACGTGAATATTGTTTGAGTGTTATTAAATTCTCATGCTAAGCTTTGCCATTAGGTTGAAATTTCTACATTTGAGCACTATGTCTTTCCTTAGATTTATTGTATATATTTAGAAAAGGTTTATGTGATGCAAAATTTTGAATTATGTAATGATGTCTAGAATTTGTTTGATTCTCTCTCGAGCGAAATCCTAGGCTATACTTAGTTAAGGAGATGATTTAGGCCATTTTTGGACCGATTGAGCCTTTTGTACCCTTCCTTACATAATTATCCTCAGTTCCCCTTTGAGCCTAATGACATCTTTCTTTGTTTGAACACTAATTTTAGCCTAGACCCTTATAATATATGGCAACAATTCTTGCATCCTCATTCCTAAGTGCATAAGTCAATTTAGAATGTGTTATGAGCCACATAGTGAAAGAGGTAGTCAACAAAAAAAAAAAAACGATGAAAAGTTCAAAAATATGATTGTACTCATCTCATTGCCCAATAAAAGAATTAAGTTTGGGGTATGAAATTGAGAAAAGAAAAAGGGAAAGAAAGAATGAAGTGTTGACAAAAGA